ATAAGTAAAAGTGAAGAAACTGATTAATTAGAGGGAAGTAATTCATCTAAAAGTGTACATAATGGAGGGCAAAACATGCATTTACAGATATATTCTTGTGACCACTATCTATTGTTGCATTTTTAATGCGTGACTTAGGGCCGTTTAAACACTAACTTAATATGTTAAGGCCGTTTCACACTATTAGTTGCTGCACCCCCAGGTAAGCCCAAAGATACGTTTACTAGCTGGACTAGAATATTTTTATGACAGTTCTATGCTTTATTGACAGTGGTGTACTCCATCATCAAAATATTTAATTGGTATCAGCCTATTGATGGTCTTCTGCCTGGAGGCTTGTGAGAGATATTTATCAGTAAATATGCTTGGACGCCTTGAAAGTTTAAGTGACAAAATTGATAAGCTTAATTATTTTATAAAATAACAGTGAAAATACTTGTAGTAGCAATATAGTTTACTGTCTTTTTTCTGTTTTCTTTGCCAAACCCTTATTAAAATTGATTGTAAGAAATTTTGTTTGAATAACTGGTTTTACTACAAACTTGACTGTTTCTTTATTATCCAAGTATCCTTATACTGGTAACATGACATAATTCAAGTAAATTATTAACTAAGTTTCCTCAGGATTAGTTTGTTAAAATTGCTCGAGGCATTTAAAAAAATGTACAGCTAGATATTAAGATGAAATGATTTGGGACTTGTTATTAATATTTTTTCTGCATGGCTGTTGCATTTATATGCCTTGAATGTTCTTAAATTGTCATGTTCTCCCTTTATCTAAAAATAGGTTCATTATTGGAAAAAATCCTATGAATTTAAATAATAATAAATAATAATAATGCAACATGATGAAGTGAATAAACAAAAAACGAAAAATAAAATAATGGAGTTATTGAATTTTCAAAATGTTACTGAATTTTCAAAATGCCACCATAATAAGCATTTAGAAAGTCAAAGAAATAACAATAGTTTCAACCTCAGATTTAATAAATTCCGTCAGAAAATGGGAGGTGACACCCGTCCCATACCTACCCTATTGCATGTACAAGATGCTGGCAATAAAAGAGTAGGCACATTCTGTATTTTGATAGTAATATACTGTATAGAATAAAGACAGTGATAAAGATGTTAGCCCCCAGTCAACCCTGTTCTGTATCCAACCCTCTCTAACTAACGTACATATATTTGCATGGGTGTGTCAACACTTATATGTTTGGGACGTTTCACATTAACGTTTTTACTGGGGGTGTTTCAAAACCTATATGTCTGGGCCGTTTCAACACTTCTTTATATGTTTGGGCCGTTTTAACACTAATTTATATGTTTGGGCAATTTCACATTTATTTAATAATTTATGTTTAAGCTAGGGGCCGTTTTAACACTTACTTATGTTTGGGCAGTTTCACATTCACTTTTTTGCTGAGGCCGTTTCATCACTAACTTATGTGCTAGAACAGTAAAAGGTGAAAGAAAACGCATGACTGGTAGTAATTTGGGACTCTTGATCCTAACTTTAAGAAGGACGGGGAAAAATAACAAAAGATACATGTAATTTAAGAAGTTAATCAAAGCTTTAATGACTGATTATGACCGAATATACATTTTATATGATTTAAAAACAAAATGTACAACAGTAAATAAATATTGACTCTTTATTTAGTTTTAAGCATATATGCTCGACAAATAAGATAAAATTTTTTTACATGAAATGTAAATCAAACTGGTAATAGTTTTACAAATAATGCCTTTTGGAACTCACAAAATTGATAAATCTTCATTTGAACATCACATTTATGATATAAAACCATAAAGAAAAATGAGTGACAGGATCTTTAAGTTTACATGTACTTTATTTATAGGTACTCAAAGAAAAACAACAAGATTCGGTTCTTATTCCTTTGATGCTATGCTTTAAAACAAAATAACGACAAGATAAAATATGTTACTGCAATATCTAAGACTTAATTAACACAACTTATTTCTGCGGCTGCAAAAAATTTATTAAAACTTTATACTTATGCACTGATTGACAATAAGAACAACAGCAAAAGCAACAACAACATAAAATGATGCTAAAATGGTCTTTCCTAAATTTAGATTTAAAATGATTTCATGAAAACATTCAATGATGACACTTGAGCGGCCCTTGTGTATCAAATCAAAGTTGTTAACATGGTAGAATGCCGACGTAACGTGCTTGGATTACGAATGCAATAATGGTGGTGGCGTTGGTAGATTTCAGCAGAAAGCCACAATAAATTTACCAGAGCATAGCACAGCCACCACATCGTTACTCGGCAAGTTGTCAAAAACTTTACCAGTACTCGATGCCTTCACTTTAACAAGGAACTGCTTACTTCTGTACATGCCAGAACAGAAGTATAGTGCGAATGACCGTAGAAAGGATTTAATGATCAATCACAACAAAGTTCGAGAATCGAACCAGGATCGCCCGGTTCACATTTCTATCTATTGAACTAACCGGACAGTGAAAATGCTGTGAGAAAATGATCCCGTGAGTGTAAACAAGAGTGGCACCATAACTTAAATGCATACAACAAACAAATCCACAGCGGATAGAGGAAAACATTTACACATTTTGATTGATTTTAGGATATTTTGTCGAAGTTACTTAATTTATTTGAATTAGTAAATATGTTTTTTGTTTTTTGATTTTATTTATTGTTTTATATTTTTAATATATCAATCATCATGATTTAAAAATCAAGCGTCTTCTGTGAGTTTTATTCTTTTACTGAAGAATTTTAAACTCAATTAAAATCTTTAAGCACTTAACAGAAAAGCTTCGTTATAAAATAGATAAGGTATTAGTTCAGAAACATGTAAAACAATTATTGAGCATCTTATATTGAGGTATGCTATTGTCATGATGAAACTATAAATGTTTTTAGGAGTGTTTGTTTGATTGGAGTTTACATCACACCGACACATTATAGATCATGTGGCGACATTCCAGCTTTATTGGTGGAGTAAGACCTCAGGTGCCGTTCCGTGAATTATTTCTGTCACGAAAGGGTACCTGCGTTGAAACCACCGACGTTCCGTAAGCTAGCTGGATAGCTTCCTCACATGAAAGAATCCAAAGTCCCTGTAAGGATTCGAACCCACAGCGGTGAGGGGCAAGTGGTTTGAAGTCAACGACCTTAACAACTCGGCCAAGTAAGTTGTAGGTATCGTGTAGATATATAGTTCAGTGTTCGAAATATATTACAAAATTTGATGACAAAAGCAACAACAACAACTACACACCCACACTCACCCCCTAAAACAGCAATAACAATACACCCACATTCACCACCGTAAAACAACAACAACACACCCACACACACACACCCGTAAATTAACAACAACACACTCAACCCTTAAACAACAACTATTTACGTAATATGTATATATGACTTATTACCAAGACAAACAATGCAATATATTGTGTTTGAATTCACATTTTTGTTACTCACATCATTGTTTGTTCAGAAAACATTTGATGTACTCTCTGTGCTCCATATCATGAAATGTTAAAATTGTTATCTCTTAGCCTTTATGCAATATAATTTTTAATTGCAAATTGAATTAAATATGACTTTTAACACAATGTAATTACTCATTATGAGTTACATAATTAATGAAACAGCTTAAATATGCGGACAGCAGAACAGTTATTTAAATTATTTTGCTGTGGAATTGATTAACTATAATTTTTAAAATATAAATTCTGAAATTTTAATTGATACATAGCAGAATATTGAAATGTAAATAAACTAATTACCCTTCGATATCACAAAATTTGATGTAAGCAGAATATGCAATTTTATCTGCAAATGTTATAAAAAATATACATGACGGGGCTGGAAATATTTTTTTTCGAGAGTTATGTTCCATTTCATGTAGATCTAGACCAGTGACTTTTGTACAAACTTTCAGATCATTACCTCACTTCTTTTACCAGAATAAGTAATGTAATTGTGGGAAATGACCCGAAATTGAAAAGAAATGCAATGATGTTTACAGAAATTGGACAATAACTAGAATACAATTACAAGTTTCAATTTATTTCTGTGCATATTTCTTTTGCATATCTTTCTGAATTAAATGTCCCCGTTCGAATTTTGTAAGAATTTTAAGTTTATGTGTTAAGGCTTTTCGACCTCAGTCGAGATCCTTTAATGTAAGAAACTATTGAGGTCGACCATTGATACAGATACAAAACCTCTTCGTTTACAACATTATCACGTTCAAAATTACGGATAATACACTATTAAAAGATAACATATAACCCAGAATGAAAGCAAAATAAAAATGTTTGTATGAACGACTGCATAAAACCACAACTCTTCAACTTGTCGCTCATTAGCTTCTAGGATTACACAAAGTCACTGTCAATCACACTTTGGACTTGTGGCACGCTCTTCTGCTACCACTGTAAACAAATAGGAGAAACTAGTTGATTAAAGAATCATGCCTCCAAATTCATACTTATTTCAACGTTTTTTTCTTCTTGTTTATGAAAATTTGAAGTGAACAAAGAAAGTAAATTACACAATGCAATCTACGTAAATAACCAAAAAGAGGTTAACATTAATTTATAACATGTGGATTATATCTTGAATCTTGCCTTTTTTTTAGTTCTTTTTTCAAAATCACCAAGTACCTGAACCTCAATATTATAGATATTTTTAAGTCAATATACCAATTCACATGATTATTCACAAATCCGTCACTTTGAAATGACACAAAATGTAAGACTTTAGTTTATTTTTGGCAAAGTAAACTACATTACAATATTAAACTTTTTTGCCTATTCTTTACTAAGGAAAGGAATCCATACTCTTACGAATGCGTACATCATCGGAACCAAGGGTTCAAATTCCGTACTACATTTACGGTAAATAGCCTGGGCTATCGAGGATGATTCCGGTCCTTTCCGTTAGTCTTCGAATATGGACCCAGAATATTCCGATTGGGATGAATCTTGTTTAAGGTAAATAGCCTGGGTTTTCGAGAATGGAATGCGCAGTAAATCTCAGACTTTGTCCAAAGCAACATTTACAAAAGATTTATTATATATGTTCCTTATTTTTCCGCACAATATCATCCGTGTGAGAATTATATGTATGACTAGTAGATTCAAAATAATGAGATGAAATAGAATTTTAGTAACCGTCGTTATGACATCATTATTGAAAAAGGCAGAGCAGAACATTTTATCAAAATAAATCTGTATGCGTATATCAAAACTTTTGTTTCATTATACAAAGTGTAAATAAGTAGTATGATTTTATTCTTTTCTTCAAAAGTGAAAATATGCATAACTTGCCATCATTCTGGTTGTAAGCGATATACAAATTGCCGTTAGGATCGCACTGACCACAGTTGCCTCCACATTTTGCAGATATCATATTGCTGTCGACGTTTCTTTGAAAATTTATCATTTTTGCTTTCCAACCAGTTGTAACCCATTCAACCTGAAAAAGAAGAAAAAAAGAAGAAGAAGGAAAGATGTCGTCAGTAAGTTTATTGTCATATTATCAAGTTGCCCCGTATATTTTATCAAATATTTTATATTTTCGATCCTTGAAGATCGTTCAGCACGTCATTATTGTTATCATTTTTATTATTATTATAATTATTATTAATATTATTATTATTATTATTGTTATTATAATCATCATTATTATTATTATTATTATTATTATTGTGTGTACATGTTTGTTGTATCTAGTCGCGTGGTTTCAGTATTCCTACATGAATACAAAAAATCACCCTTTGGATAAGTTGCCTACTTTGTAAATTTTTCTTTTGGCATCTTGTTTTCGATATACAGGCTTCATATCCTCTGATCCCCTTTCAATATTCCATTTATTTAAAGGTCTGCCCATTGATGTGTCGTTTAGGATATACGTATCATTTTACTTGGTGATGTTCCTAAATTCATTATTTCACCATATTCATGTTTAGATGTTGACTTCTGCTTGAGCCGGTGCTAGGGTGCGCGGACGTTTACTTGCACCTACAAGTGCCGTCATACCGAGTTTGCAATATTTTTAATTTGTCTTTTTTTGGAATTCTTTAGGGATTATTTTTCCTAGATTTGATTTTGTCTGTTTATGAGACATAATGAAACAATGCAACACGTATCAAGCCCCCTAGCACCGGCTTATAAATGTAATTGAAGGCATTTTCTTTATCACTGTTTGTAGTCATTAACGGACCATCATAACGAAATTTCGCTGACTGTTTTCTCGGACAAAGACGAAACTTATTATTTTCGTTCTTTCATCACAAAATGTCAACCAATCATAACGACATCATCAGAAATCTTATTGCTTAAAAGATGAAAATGGAAATACCTCTTTCTTAAATTTTAGTCCTGTACCTTGCAAGGAGATACTGAAATTTCCTAACGCACACAACTCACAACCACAGCTACTGCCAGTTCCATACGGTAGCGGGGGAAGTTCAGACTTATCTTCAGAACTTTTACTGAATATGGTGTCTTTACGTATAATTTTCCACTCCTGGAAATTAAAATCGCGAAAAATAGCTTATCAATTATAGATATAAAGCATGTTAGAAGTTTAGCAGCTGGAGAAAGTAGGCTGAACTCGCAGAAATGTGTCTTTAAGGTAGCAAAATGTAAATTATTAGTATTTTGACATCCTCGAAAAATACAAGTTCACTTTATTTATAGATTAATTGCAAACAGGGCAAAAAAGCAACAATTTGTGTATCTATGTGGTAAAAAAAGTATTTTCAACAGTTTAGAGTTTTTGAGAAATAAAAATGAAAACATTTCTGAGGCATAATGGGCCTTAAGTAATATGTGATTAAGATAAATTAAAACATGACACGAGTTTGATTTTCTTTATGGTTGGATTGATACCATGATATTGACACGTATTTTCCTGTATCTCGTCAAAACTGCTTTGAACTGCGATTTCCAATGATTGAATCCATAATTTGCTTTTTCATTTACTGTAATAGATAGTAATAATGTTTACAATACGACCCAATTAACTTTGATTTACAATTTATAAATTTTTTAATTTAATTGAAAAATCATTATTATATCTTCTTGTTATTTCTTTAAATTACGTTTTAAAATGGTTATTAACATGCACAATGTGCCATTATTTAAACAACCTTCGGGCATTTTTTATAACACAGTGCAATTTAAGAAATCGGTTTATATTATTATATAATAAAAGTTTTGCGAGTCAATGGCTTTAGAAAATAAAAACATGACGTTCGGACTACCACTATACATTGCAATACATACATGTACTCGTAAACGATTGCAGACAAAATTAGATGTATTATATTCAAATATGCACGATATTTAGTTATCTTTAACCTGACTCTGTTTTCGAATGAACCGCTAAACATTGTATTGCAAAAAGGCTGTTAGCGTCAAAGCTGAAAAGTTATATCTGAAACCTGAAATGTACTCCAGCGGTTCTTCTGTGGACATTCCAGCGCAGTATATTTTGACCATATGACCTCCGAGAACTCCCGAATATAGCCAGTATTCACCATCAGTGTAGGAGGAGCTACACAGTTTGACATCTTTACATGTCCATGGGACTGAATACAAAACATCATACTGATATAATTCATACTAATATGATTCATAATATTAAAGTAATACTAATATGAATCAAAGTAATATAATTATGACTAATATTTTTTGGTATATATTTACATAATAAATATAAATATTCATGCTTATATAATAAAAGCGAATATAATTTAAAAAAAAAATACTTGCTGATATAATTTCATACTTATATGAATCGTTCTAATATAATTCATATTATAATGCTTATATAATTCAAACAAATAGAATGCATACATATATGATTCGTGCTTCTATGATTCATGCTGATACAATTCATGCTTATAAATCTAATACTTAAATAATATAATTCATACTAATATAATTCATGCTAAGGACAATTAGAACAATTGAAGGGTTTTCTCTATAAATACAAAGTCATGTTTACAGATGACTCAAGAAAAATTACCCAAACTGATTTAATAAAACATCATATTGCTGTAGTTTACTCAAAATAGAAAGAATGTAAGTAAAAAAACGGCAAAATTTAAAATGTTGCGGGCTCTGTTTCAATTGGCCAGTTCTATATACATGTCAATGATATAGATATTTATACACTTGACATCGATGGGGCGTCCGTGGCCGAGTCAAGAAATTAAACTAGTTATTTCTACATGGACAATTAAAATGATTTCCGTACTTATACATTTGCAGACATGTGAGGCCCCTTTTTGATAACATCTTTGGTTCGCTTTACACGGCATTGAACTACAGCTTCCAACCATTGTCTGTAAAAAAGAGGAAAAATCAAAAACCAAATACATGTATGTTACATTTAACCTGCCATCAGCTTTTATTCTCTGTTGTACAAACAATTCTGTGTTGGTTCAAACTAAGTATTTTAATAATTCTAAATTTTAAAAAGTGCATCATATCAAGGCAAAGCCTCCTTATAGTTCAGCGTCCCAAGCGCGTCAGTGGCGGTCGTTTCTAAAAATAGTAGACAACGAAATGAATCACCAGCGTTATTTATTTATATACAGAGAGAGACCGATAGAAAATGGGTATTGAGGGTTTCCTTTTTGTTTATGCAAATTTAATTTTCAACCTTAATTATTTTGATTTAAAAATTAAATCAACTGATTTATCTAAAAATAACATATTTATCCTTCAGAAAAGATCAAGGTTGCTTTAAATGATTTGTTTAATTACAAAACAATATTCAAATTTGTATTAACTGACAGAAAAACCGATAAAACCAACAATTAGTTAAAAATGACTTTAGATGTCAATGCAAGTTATTAATTAGTGAAAGTCAAGTAAGTTCATTCTTGTCAAATTAAAGGTCTTGTCCAAAGGAATTCTATATCTACTCATGACGGTAATACGTTGAGAAATAAATAATGAAATAAAAAAAATAAAAGAAGAAAAAGACAAACAACAAAAAGCAAAAACCCCATGGTCAACGTTTTAAAAGTTTTTGACTGGCACCGGCATTGGTAACGTCAACATCAACGTCAACAACAAAATTACAGTAGCACAGGTTCTCTCTTCCTGTTGTTTTCGAAAAACGATTTTTTTACAATAAGTTTGAGACTTTGGAATAAATATCTGATGTTAACGCAACCTGATTAATGTTAATTGTAAAAACATGTAAATACAAACAAACTAAGTTATTTACACATTTAAAACGACACTTACAATACATGTAAATTACCAAATAAAGGTTAAAATATGAAAAAAGCCCTTATTGCAGAAGAATATTGTAAAGAAATAATACAAAATTTGTCATTCATGTAATATACAACTTATTACTTGAATTGTTAATATTTTCACTTTTCGAAAAATGTTAGTAAAATTTTCTCAACATATTTTTTTTGGCTGATCTGGCGGCTAGGAACATTAAATCAAACTATTTCCCATGTGTGTACAAAGATTTTTGTGAATGAATTAAGATACTTACGCTAGGCCATTCGCTGATATCAGAGAAAATAGAGCCTTTTTTGGTCTCAATCTCCGATGGATCAACAGATGATCGGTCAGCATCATTCAATTTACATATGTCCTCCTGCCTGTCAAAGTCAATAGATTTACATACAGACAGTGACATACATGTCCGCGCACAGTCTTGATGGTTAATATCCTTAATTTCACGCACGGAATGACCAATCAATGCTTTATTTAGATTGTTTTTGGTTATTTGAAATGGTTTACACGTGCTTGAATAAACAGTTCCGAGTAACATAAAGTTGATAATTACAAATCCAGCGATCAAAGTCATAGTTTTAAACTGATGACACGCTGCTTATTAGCCAACCAATATTGAAATGATATCTGTATGGTGACCTTATCTAAACACACGGGACACTCGCGTCACTATGATATGTAATACAAGATTCCTGTTTCATCGATACAGCGCATGCGCAGTTTAATATCTTTATTGTAGCGCATGTGCAGTTATAGAATTTTGTGGCTTAAACATCCAATCAAAATACAGGAATAACTATCGTATCTTTAACATTTAATCAAGGGAACATTAAGTTATTTGTTTGGTTTGAAAACATGAGTATTTTTAAAAATCTAGCACAATATTGTACACAGAAAACTATAGAATATAAGTGTTCAGAACAGTATTTATTGAAAGCAGCAATTAAATTTAATAAATTTATTTCGTATTGTACATCAACTGTCTACATCTGTTAAAAGAAATTCACAAAAAAGCATGTTGGTAAATTCTATGCACACATTTATTACTTTGTTCTAAGCTTTATAATTTTTAGAAATATATTTGTACCAATGTTTAATAAATATTTAAATAAATGTTTATTTTCAAAGGTCAGCTTTAAAACATACCCCTACATTGCAAGTTGAACTCATTACCGGCTCATGTCTGTCTGATAAATTCCGCATCGCCCGGGGCGGGATGGGGTGGTTTATTGTAACGTTACAATTGTTAATGCAACTAAATTACGTCATTGACATGTACACTAATATGACGTTAAAACATTTAATATACACGTGAAAGGAGGTGTTTGTAAATATGCACTAGACAGGCAACTACACAAGCTACTTTTTATTAGAATATTATATGCTATAAAGTGAAACCACACTAATAAGACCACTTGTGATTCTTCCGAAAAATGGTCTTAATTTTGGGATAGATGATCTTAATTTCGTATTGTCTCTGTTTGTAATAATCTCATCGATGAACACCTTCGTAATTGAGATTTGCTCTTATCGATAAGTTACAATGTTTCTTTGAACATTTTTCTTTTGTTTTTCTTCCTTCATTACTGCACAAATATTGATGGTTGAAAGTAAAGACAATAACTGTCTAATCATTATAACAAACACATTTATACCTACAATATAGCTAATTTAAATACAATAAAGTCGTGTCCATCCATCAATACACTTTGAGATAGGTTGTGGACGTACAAGTGTTACCTTGACCTTTGAGCTGATGCTAGGCATCATTAGGCACCTAGGATTTATTTCACACCACCATGCATATAACGTATACGTATTATGAATTTTGGACATAAAAATGTGTCATTTACTTCTGAGCCTGGGTAATTTTATAATTTTGAAAATACGAGCGTGACATTGACCTGAAAGCGTGTGATCTAGCTTCGGCAACTGTTTCTTTTTCATGTGAGGAAATTATCCAACAAACTTACAGGACGTCGGTGGTTCTGCTAAGGTGCCCGTGATTGCCTTTAATAATGTACATAGGAGAATCTGAGGTCTTTCTTAACAAAAAGATCACATTTTTGGAACATTATTTATAAACATGAACATTTATTGTCGTTTTTCTTTGATATAGTGTAATTTCACACACTTACCACTGCCAATGTTACAAAATCACAACATTCATTGAAGGATCTCCACTGAGGTCCAAAATTCTTAAATATAAATTTTTTTATTTCTAATATATGTCTGGAAAAAATCTTTGAATGTTTTTCGGATGAAATGACAACACAACATTAGGGTTAATTGGCATTCTTTGATCTTAATGTTGCATTTCCCGCATATGTATTGAAAATTTCTGCTTAAACCGACAGTGTATGAGGTTTCCCTTACATTTTGGCCTACATGTAGCCCATAAACTATTAAATGAAGGCATGTCCCGACGGAACGACGGATAGATGCTGTAAAAGCTATATGCCCTCCGCATGTTGGGGTGGAGGGCATTTAAACGGCTAAAGCAACGTTGTGTAACTTTCAAGAATCAGAGTCACTTAACGAATCGAAAACAACATCTTTGATTCTTTGATTATACGTTTTATGTATTGGGCGACTTTTACGGGGCATCTCTATGGCAAAGACAACACTAATGTGACTAAAATAGAGAGAACGGAATCATTTAGAAACGTCAAAAACGGCAAAAATTTAATTGTTGGTGTGATTGAGCATGCTCGTTAACGGAAGTGGCAAGTGCAAGCTACCGTCTACGCTTCAGTAGTGTCTTAAGCAGTCTACAATACTTCAACATGAAAATGATGAAATTTTGATTTTATTTTTGAATCAACTTAAAATGTATTGAGTCAGTGACCATGGAACCTTTAAAGTGAAATGTTTGTGCAATTCGATAAAAAAGGGGCGTATAGTCTCCAACATATCATGTGTGGTACTTTTATCGTTAAAATGGCATTTGAAACACGGAATATCCACCTTTATCTATTGAACAATTCATCAACAATTTCAGACAAGTTTTAAAATCATTAGCTTATTTTGGTTAAATAATTAAATTTGATTTCATTGATTGTTTTTCATTTCATTTCATAATTCATTCAATAATGCTTTTCTTCAAGTGCATACAAAATAGATGTGATTATAATCAACAGCAACAAAATGACGGGTTCTTTGTAAAATATGCATGGAGTGGATCCGATCAATGTTAATTGATATCGCTCAGTCTTGAGATCGAAAACTGATAGTTGCGATCAATTTTGAAAATTTAATGATTATAGCCCAGTCTGTAGATTGAAAACTGATGGCTGGGATCAAAGTAGGTCAGTTGACTGAAATAAAATTGTATTGTTTGTCTACTTTTTTATTTGTGCCTGAAGGTTTAGGTTTGGACTCGGAATTTTGTTGTAAATCCCATGCTCCTGGTAAAAGCTCGCTTCATGTGCTGAATATTTCCGATAACGGTACATTATGTCTCAGAAACGCTATCAACATTATTTTTCTTTTGTTAAATTTCTGTATCTTGTTACAGTTTGCCACATAGATAAACTTTTTGTTTTACTTCTGTTGCTATTTTGGCAAATGATAAAATTATAGTGAATTGGTATTTGGTAAGAAAGTAAAAATACTACTTTCTTCATGCGGTACCTTTACAACAAATTTGCTACATTTTTCAGTTGCAAAACCTTTAACATACTATAAATATATTAGTAAGAAAATATTCAATAAATGTCTCAAATTCATCAATAATTAAAAGAATATATAGCTTGGAGGCATAATGTGCCTTTGAGTGAATCCTTTTGATGCAATGCTATTCGCAATGAGTTAGGAGCAATGATAAGGTCACTGTCGCTTAAATATAAACCTTTATAACAAATAACAAATCGCTGCACAGATGACAGTGCATCAGACGCCATGATTTATCATCTACCTTACCTATTACTGCAATAAGGGACAACGTCAAAGCTTTTACTCGTGTTAACCTACAACGAATTCGGACCAATGTTAGGTCGAAAGACATTGTTCTTTTATAAAATTAACGTAAATCTTACTTAATAGCAGACGGGTAAATGGCAAGCTGGCATAAGGCGGCTTTGTTCTATGTCGCAGTCACCGCTAAATACCGTACTTGATGCTAAACGCTTAAAGTCGCGCTTTTGCCGCTAAATTGTCGCAACCACCACAAATGTCTCAAATATGTGTTAAATTATGTTTTAATAATTGATATAGAGCACATTAGAAGTTTAAAAATTGACTAAAGCTTTGCTGAATGTGCAATTATGAACGTAAAAGGTAGCAAAATGTAAACAAAGTAGTATTTTGACTTCAATACAAAATACTTATTCACTTTTATTATTTCAATTGACAACAAAGCAAAAGAAATAAAGATAATTCATTAACGTCGCAAATGGATTTTCTTTTTTTCAAAAGTGTAATAACATACCAAAAGTAAGGAAGACATGATAATATGCCGAGAAAAGTGCACTTTAATAGACCTGAATGATGTACAAGATGATTTTCTCATTTAAAGATCCGAAAAAAAAAAACAACTAACAATACATTCCAAGATACATAATCCGATGTTACATAATAACATTATTTTCTATATAGCACATAATACATTCGAAGATAAAATAATTTGCAACAATGTTTGAATTTGCATTAATGCAAATTGATCGTAAGACAGAACTTGAAAATCCCGCTTTATTCTTTAATAAATCTTTTGAACCTTAAATATATAACATAAATTTATGTACATGTATATACATTTTTATGCATAGTTATAATTGTCACTTTTAAATACTTACTGACTGTTAGATTCATCCGGTTGATTTTTTTAAGCTATATGTGAATATTTGTAATGTACAATGTTTGTTTTTAGTTTTATGTTTGTATATATATGTTTGTCAGTTATTACAACTTGTTACATTACGTTAGTACCTTAATTACAGTATATGTTTTGACAAAAATACTCTTCATAATAAATAGTTATTTGTCATAATCCTGTTTCTTTGAAATTATAAAGAGGCAATACCAGTAAAAGAAAAATACTTATGTTCCAAATATTTAATTATTGGAGTATTGACCATAGATTATTTAAGGGAAATAAATGCGAAAAATCATTATTATGTAAATTTATGGTAGTTATTTCCCTTCTTTTGTGACAATCGCATTCTTGTGATTTTATTCGCAAATTCTACTGAATTTACCCTATTTAAAACCAAATTTAGTTAGATTAGATAATAATAAGGCAAAGGTAGGCATTATGAATGATTATTTAGATTTCATTCAAATGCCTCTAAAGTGAATTCCAGTCTCATTACAAACATTTTCACATGTCAAACACATTATTTTTAGTTATATATGTTCATTAAAACACGGAGTAGAGTAAGTTATAAAAGAGGAGAGTAGAGTGTCGAGTTGATGAGAGAAGAATAGAGTAGAGGATAGGAAAGTAGAGTAGAGGAAAGGGTAGAAAGTAGAGTGGAGTAGAGGCAAGGGGAGAGAACAGGAGAGTAGAGAGTAGAATAGGGTAGAATAGAGTAAAGTTAAAAGAGTAAAAGAGAGCAAAGTAGGGTAGGGTAGAGAAGAGTTTATTAGAGGAGAGTAGAGAGTAGAGTTTATAAGAGGTTATAAGAGTAGAGGAGAGTAGAGATGA